GATCCTTGGCACCTAAGCATGGATATAAAGTCATAAGGTTGATTTCAATGGTAATGTTTTTCACCTCTACTAATTAACATGAAGCCAATTTTTATGCTTCTTTATCAAATATAACTCATTTTTTTATTTGTTGATTTTTTTGTGTGTATTTCATATAGAACATCCCAAACAATCTTATTGATATACATGCACACATTCCAAAGGGCTCCCTGCCATAGCTCCCCACTTGCTTCCCACTGGAGCCCATATGCTCTGTCATCCCTGTTACTGTCCAAAGTGTTGGTGCCCCCAGCTGTTCCCCAGTGCTTGTCCATCCGCTGAATCTAGTCAGCCTATCTAGAGTTCTTGTTTTAGGAAGATCAGCTCTTTCTCATCTAGCAGCAAGCAGTTGCCAATATTTCTTTAGATAAGATTGGGGTCTGCTGTTCATTTTCCCAGTTCTATGCTAGGTTACTGTCTGGGAGTTTCTTGGGCCCCCCTGGCCAATAACTCAAAGGAAGGTATCTCCTGCCTGGCATTGTTTCTTGTTATGTAAAGGCAAGTGTTTTCAAGTACTGTGGAAATACTGACTCCTCACCAGTCTCTGGCATTTCTGTGGAGGTTAATTTTGTCCTTGATTCCACACACCAGGTCAATCTTTTGTCTCTTGGCTGCTGCTTGATTATAAAGCACCTGGCAAGATCTTTCTGATTCCTCAGTTTTGCTCACACTTTTAGATTTTGTTTCAGTACACCCCTTCATGTTGGTAGGTGTGATTTATAGAGAGGCATCTAGGTCCACTGGATTAAATCAGGGAAGATAGTTTCTTTATGTCAGGACTTCCTTGCATCTTTAATATGCTAATGAGTACTGAGAAGCCCCCAAAGGGGGCATAAATATTACATTCTAAGTAACACTCACAGTTTATATTTTTCCCATCCCTGAAGCTAGGGTGCCTTTCAGTTAATGGTGTCTTATGATGGCTGAGACCTGGGCAGTGGTGGTGCTGTGGTCATCATCACCTGTGCACACTGGACTTGGTCATAGCTTTCTCCTGTCAGCATATCAACTAAGGAAGGCACATACCTAGCACAAATTGCAGTGATACTTCCTTGTTCTTTAAAATGCCTTCATAGTGATGGCAACATGATTTGGTGTTGAAATGGCTTACAGTCTATGCTAAAAGGCATAGTAACAGAGCAGTGATGCCCAGGGGAACAACCATTCACCATTGAAGTGTAAGATACATGCTGTAGTCTGTTTGTGCTGCTATGACAAAATACCATAAGCTCATAAAGAAATTGAGGGACTGGGGAGTTCAAGATTATGGCATTGGAAGATTTGATGATTGGAAGGAGATATGGTTCTCGCTCTCACACAGTGGGAAAAAGTAAGGGATCTTAGCTTTCTTTTAAAGGGCACTAGTCCCATTCATAGACCTGGTCACCTTCCAAAGGCCCCACCTTATAATAAGATTACCTTAAGGGTTAAGATATTTTGACATTTAAAAAGATTTACATGTATATATATATGTGTGTGTGTGCGTGTGTGTGTCTTCATGTATGCATGTGCAATATGTACATGCAGGTACCTGTGGAAGCCAGAGGAAGGCAATGGAGACCCTGGAACTGGAGTGACAGGCAGTTGTGAGTCACTGAATGTGGGTGCTGGGAACTGAACCTGTAAGAACAAGTGCTTTTAACCACTGAGCCATCTCTCTAGCCCCCAAGGGTTAGGATTTTAACAAATGCATTTTAAGAGGACACAAATACTTAAGCCACTGCATTGTAATTCCATAATTTTTGGACACAATGGCCAAATTCTTAAAAGAATTTAAGAAAAGAAGATCACCATAGTTGACACCATATTTGTTATTAAAGTCAGTGCAAAAAGATTGCCTGCCACATGCCAAGGGGGCAATACCACTAAAGTCAGGAAAATTCCCCAGGAAACGATTGTGCCCTACTGTGTTTTTTCTTTCATGGTAGTACATAATTGATTGCAGATCTGATGAAATATGTCAGTGTGAAGTATTTTCAATCTTACCTGACTGTAGACTTTTGATTCCTTGGGAACATCTCTTAGAACAAAACAGTGCTTTATAGACATAATAACGACAATATCTAGCACTTATAATCAGCCAGCTATTTTGAACTACTTCATTATATTAGCTAAATGGACTCATACATATCCCACAAACTAGGCACTATCTTGTGTGTCTCTGTGTGTTTTGTGTGTATGGTATGTTATGTGTATGTGTGTAAAGGTGTGTGGAGGCCAGGATTGATGCTGGGTGTTTATTGTTATGATTAATCTTGTAGATGCGGATGTGGGTGGGTACCTGTTCATGTGTGTGTGTGTGTGTGTGTGTGTGTGTGTGTGTGTGTGTGTGTGTGTGGTATATTCATGTGGATGCATGTGCATGCTGGAGCAAAGGTCAGCTTCAGTTGTCTTCCTTGATCACTCTGTATTCTTTTTTGAGTCGGAGTCTCTCACTGAACTTGGAGCTCATCGATTTGGCTGTGCCAGCTGGCCAATGACCTTTAGGGCCCCACCTGTCTCCACCCCCCTCCCCTAGAGCTGGGGTTCAGATGTACACCACCACATGCAGCTTTTACATAGGTGCCAGGGATCTGAACTCAAGTCCTCATGCTTGGTGGGCAGGGTGTCTCCCCAACCCATAGGCACTATTTTTATCCCCATGTGACAAATGAGAAAACTGGGGTAGGTGGAGATTAAGTAACTTTCCTAAGCTTCTGCAGATAGTATAGTAGAATCGGGATTCTAGCCAAGGCAGATGACTCTCCAGTGTCTGGTTTTTCACCTCCAGAGCACATAGTTTGTGAAACATTGTTCTAGCTACAGATTAGGGGAAGAGAGAACCATAAATCTGACTCACAGAAAACAAGCAAGTACCACAACTCTTGCTGCTTTTTGAAATATTCAGCAGGAATATACAGGGAAAAATAAAGACTTCTCTGATCTTTGTTCATGCTGTGAATGCATCCTTATGTTTTGAAATGCCTAAATGATTTGTACTACCTCTAGGTTATAAAGATTAAGAAAAGAAGTTTCTTAAGAAATGAAGGCGGAACAAAATACCAGAACCATGCTGGATAAACATCAGTTCAATTTAGCCCATATTTGAATGCTTTGGAAGGCTTCGTTACTTTATAGGTTGGTATTTTCAGTGATGGGGAAGCTAATACTTTCTTTCACAAAGTTGGGAGGAGTGAACTTATAGGAGGAAGACCACTTTGTGCTGTTCTTCTCATCTTTCAGCCTGCTACTATTTGTGAGATAAATTTCTGTAAACCAGATGGACTCGCTGAGAGAGTTAACAATCACCTATTAACTCACTCCCTAGGGAAGAAGCAGGTGACAGGATTTAGGGAGGGAAATGAACCTGAGAACAATAGACAGTGTCATTGCTTGGAGCCATAGTGCTGTTGAGGTCCCATTGGCTCCAGTTTCTCAGGCAGGTGACTCATGAGGATGATTTTGCTTACCCTATTTCCTTAAGAGGTTCTGAACTCTGCAGTAGGGCTTCTCTGTGTACCAGGTGCTTTCTGGAATCTGTTTGACCTTCCTGAGCTGTGCACGGCCCTATGAAATCTGAAAGTGAATACTTTCAGTAGTATCTTATGGTAATTGAATGAAATAATACACCTCAAGAGACAAGATGCTTTTCAGTTGCTATTTATCTGTGCCAGTTAGGTAAGAAAGGAAAATGACTCATAGTCCAGTCCTATGGGACCAGTGAGAGTCTTACTTACACTTGGTTGTTGGCTATCTTGTGGAATAAATGCTTTGACATTCATATATCCAGAAGGACTGTAATGATTACACATAAATATTGTACAGTACAGCATTGAATTTAAGTATTGGCTATAATGAGGGAGAACACACAGGTGTTAAGCCAATGATAGAGTCCTTTCTGTTTTGCCAAGGTAAATAAAAGATATGATCCTACTTTACTGTGTGAATAATAGCTTCAAAGAAATCAGATGGTGATGGCTATCTTTATGGCACCCTGCTAAATAGCAGCTATTGAAAGAAAAGCAAAGCTGAAATGACAATT